ATCATACATTTTTGCCTCCTCCTACTTCAACCCTTCCTAATAATACCTAACTTCGTTTTTGAGAATTACCTCTTGAATCGCCTTGGATTCAGTGTGGCACAACAGTTGAGATTTCTGTCTTGCCCTGACCAATCAAATACTCTCTCTCTGGGTTCTGACTCTAGAGCAAATGGATGGAGATTAAAAACCACTGGAATTGTTCACTTCTGCAGAACAATACCCTGGGGAGTTCAGGGTTCCTGCAGCAGGCCCCCGCTCTGGGACAGGCTTCTGCATCTATAGGAGCCTCTCTGGCACCAAGCCCAATCTTCAGACTTCTTGCTTATTCTATAGACCCTACCGTCTTTGCAATAAATGGCCTATGGCTTTGTCAGTTTTTGTAGCTTGCCATCAAAGGACTCTTAGCATTCAGGTGGCATTTCAAATCACTGGTGAAATATAAGGTTACTCAGGGAATTGTTTTAGGTAAGCTAGCTACTCATTTTGGGGAACACTTAAATTCTTTAAATGAATTCCAGAATATGAAAGAGTTAACTACATAAAAAGAGGCGAGGTAACTTTATCGTGGAAAGAATGTCTTTTTACTGGTTTCAAGATAAGGCCACAAAGGAAAACATTCATAGATTTAAATGCACTAAAACTAAAAGGCAAATAATAATCCAGGAAGTATATCGACCAATACAAGCTATAGGACTCAAAACCATAAAATGTAAAGATCTCTTAAAAGTCAGTAAGATAGTTAAACCTAAAAATGTGTAAAGGCCCCAATCAATTCATAGAGGAAATATAAACTTTATACATATATATATATTGCATGTATGTATATGCACATATAAACTTATGTATGTATAATTATAAATAAATTATATAATTGCATATATAAAGAGTTCTTACATGGGGCGCCTGGGTGGCTCAGTCGTTAAGCATCTGCCTTCGGCTCAGGTCATGATCCCAGGGTCCTGGGATGGAGCCCCGCATCGGGTTCCCTGCTCTGCGGGAAGCCTGCTTCTCCCTCTCCCACTCCCCTTGCTTGTGTTCCTGCTCTCACTATCTCTCTCTCTGTGTCAAATAAATAAATAAAATCTTAAAAAAAAAAAAAGAGTTCTTACAAATCACTAAGATAAATACTTCTAAAAATGGGTAAAGGTTATAGTCAACTCACTGAAGAAGAAATATAAATGGTATATATATACACACATATGATTGCATATATATGTATATATGCACGTACATATATAAACTTATGTACACACAGTTATAAATAAAGTTCAGTCTTGCTAATACTCAAAGAAGTTCAAATTAAAGCAATGATGTCATTTTACACCTTTCAAATTAGCATAAATTTTTAAAAGTAAGGATTTACAGTGCTGGCAAAGGGTGTAGGAAAAAAATCATTCTCATATATTGGGATTATAAATTGGTAAACTCTTTGGAAGGCAGTATGTCAATATGTATCAAGTGCTTTAAAGATGTGGATTCCTTATGATCAAGCAAGTCCACTTTTAGGAGCTGTAAAAAGATTTTGTGTAGGGATGATGGCAACCTTCATACATGCAAAAAACAGAGACTGGTTAAATAAATAATGCTATATTCATTCATACATAGCAGCCACTACAAATAAAGTTGTAGAAAAGAATTTAAAGCATGAAATAATGTTCACAACCAATAAAAAATTAAATCACAAAGCTGCATGAAGAGTATAGCACATTTAAATGTATATCAAATACACACATGTTTTGTATACACACATACATACATACACATCCATACCTATTATGCACAGAGAATACTGGAAGGACATAATAAGCATGATAATAAAGTGTATTTTGGGTTTTTTTGTTTTTCTATAGTAATTACATAACTTTTATAACAGGAAAGGAGTATACTTCTTGTGCATTTTATGAATCCTATCTTATTAAGTATCTTAGGAAAAGCTCAGGGCAGGTAATAACCACCCTTAATAGGAAAGAGAAGTAAAGCTGAGACAGGGAAGGTGATTTGTCCTAAGTCATTTAACTAGTCGGTTATAAAGTCATGACTTTGATCCTCGTTTCCTGATTCCAAATCCACGACTCTCTCTACTATTCATACTCCACTTCAACAAGTGAGCACACTGATCTCACTCGGAAATTACTGGCCAAGTATGAGCCAGGGCAGAGAGATGCTTAGGATTAAGCTCTAAAGTCAGATAAATATTGATGAGTCCACGGTCCTCTATAACCAAGACGTATATGAGTGTACATGTGTACATGATGTTTGTTTAATTTACTGGCGGTGGGGGGGGGGCCTCCTGAAGGCAGAAAGAAGAAAGGAAATCATATCTACCTGTTCTATCCTTTCACGATGCTATGATCTAGGAAAACAGAGTCTGAGATTAAGACCTGGAGGGGTCAGCCTTTCGATGTGGGGCACTAAGTGTGGGCCTTCTGCTTCATCTGGACCTCCACGCACTGTCACTTCTCATCACCCCAAACACTCTCTCCCACACACAAGGCCTTGCATTGAAAAAATGGGGGTCAGAGGAAAAAATGGCCAGTCCCCTGTCGGTTGCCGATGTTATGATATTCACAGCACCTAGTATTTAGGAATAAACAGGCTGACTCAGTTACGGATACAAGTTGGGAAGTCGCCCTCTCTGATGGTGGTGGGGCTCCAGAGTGTAGCAATTCTTAGCAGTCAGGAGCAATACTGCATCATACCCCGGATACTCTGTACATCATACAGGGATGAAATCTGATCAATGTGGTCTCGGCCAGCAAGCTGAAGCTCTCACAGTTAGTTTCTGGAACTCAGTAGGTGTCTCTGCATTGAAACTGTGCCAACTGACACTAGTCCTCCTAGCCTGCTTAGAATCAAACTGTAGAAAGCCGCAGGCTTCCCAACATCTGCTCTTCTGAACCCAAACGGCATGGCCACAAGAAAAGTAAGCATGGCTCTGCTACGGAGAAGCTTCAGGTCATTCAGGATAGCCCCCTGACTTCTCAGAAATAACAGCCCCAGGCCCAGCAAGTGCAGCTCTGGAGGAGAATGGCTCTACAAGGTAGCCCTGCGTAGTCTCCAAGATAAACCAACAAATGCCAGTGTCTCACATCCAGCAGCCATGGTCCTATCGGGAGTCAAACTGTACGCCCCTTATCAAATGTGACTGCCCCACCCGGAAGCACGTATTACGGTCCCAGGAGCTAAGTCATGATAGGGAATGAAGCTTCTATCCAACAAACCACTTATTGATCCCCTACAATGTACACAGCACCCTGTCTACCATTCTCCTAGATCTAAAAGACAATCCACTTTTTGAACTGAAAAAAATGTGAACTAAATTGTTTTGGTGCACCCATTATCAAGCTTGTATGTATCACGGCACTTACAATCGACTTACACAATAGATTTTTAAAAATTCAGTGGCGAGAAAAATCAATGCAACAAATGCCAAAATATAATCATTACCAAAGATTTCCTCTAAAACAGCACTATACTGTGATCCTTAGAAATATACTTTTAGTAACTGACTTACAAGTAGGATGAGTTTTAATTTGAGATAATGCTTAGAAATGAACCAACTTAAATTCCTTATACAATTATAAAACACGAGACTAAATCCAAGGATATAATAACATTTATTTTTAAAATTACGTTCAGGCAAAATCAAAGCCTGTGACCTTTTTCAAAAGGTTTGCATTTCATTACTCACCAACTGACAGCCTTCTAGGGAGTTGACTAGCTGAGCATTCTGACAGGAGAGAATTGAACCAGCCAAATTCAGCATTACGCACACTGCAGAGAGCAGCATGAAAAAGGTTATCTGGAAACAAACCAAACAAAAAATGGATTATTCACTTGGAGAAGTTCGAAGGCAAAGTGATTTGGCTTTAAAAAAGCTTTCAGTTGATCAAATAATTATATGAGTAACAGTTGTATTTTCTTAAAGGATGGTATTATTTCTCAAAATTTGAATTATATTGTAAAATATTTTAGAGGCTAAACTTGAAAATACTATACATTATATACTCTCAAAATAGTTTTATATAGCCTCAAAAATAACGTTAGAAATGACTAAAGAAAACCAACAGAAAGAAGCTTATTTATTAGAAGGCCTTTATATTTATTTTCTTATGGAAAATTTCATACATATGCAAAACCAGAGAAGACAGTTTAATGAAGCCCCACATACCTACCACCCAGAATCAACAACTAACTAACTCATGGGCTGTGATGCTTCATTTATACCTTCTAGATTATTTTGCAGTAAGTATCAGACATGATATTTCATCCTTTCAGTGTATATTTCTAAAATAAGACTGTTTTTGAAAACACAACCAAAATAATGTCAGCATCTCTAGAGTAATCATTCATTAAATCAAATGTTCAGAGTTCACATTTCCTTAATAATCTCAAAATTTTCTTTGTTTTTTTTATTATGTTATGTTAATCCCCATACATCATTAGTGTTTGATGTAGTGTTCCATGATTCATTGTTTGCATATAACACCCAGTGCTCCATGCAGAATGTGCCCTCTTTAATACCCATCACCAGGCTAACCCA